AGACAGCCTCTTCAATAAGTGGTGCTGGGAAAACTGGACAGCCACATGTAAAAGAATGGAATTAGAACACTCCCTAACACCATACACAAAAATAAACTCAAAATGGATTAAAGACCTAAATGTAAGCCAGACACTATAAAACTCTTAGAGGAAAACACAGGCAGAACACTATGACATAAATCACAGCAAGATCCTTTTTGACCCACCTCCTAGAGAAATGGAAATAAAAACAAAAATAAACAAATGGGACCTAATGAAACTTAAAAGCTTTTGCACAGCAAAGGAAACCATAAAGAAGATGAAAAGACAACCCACAGAATGGGAGAAAGTATTTGCAAATGAAGCAACTGACAAAGGATTAATCTCCAAAATTTATAAGCAGCTCATGCAGCTCAATATCAAAAAAACAAACCACCCAATCCAAAAGTGGCAGTACACCTAAATAGACATTTCTCTGAAGAAGATATACAGATTGCCAACAAATACATTGCTCAACATCACTAATCATTACAGAAATGCAAATCAAAACTCCATTGAGGTATCACCTCACACCAGTCAGAATGGCCATCACCAAAAAATCTACAAACAATAAATGGTGGAGAGGGTGTGGAGAAAAGGGAACCCTGTTGCACTGTTGGTGGGAATGTAAATTCCATACAGCCACTATGGAGAACAGTATGGAGGTTCCTTAAAAAACTAAAAATAGAACTACCATATGACCCAGCAATCCCACTACTGGGCATGTACCCTGAGAAAACCATAATTCAAAAAGAGTCATGTACCACAATGTTCACTGCAGCTCTATTTACAATAGCCAGCACATGGAAGCAACCTAAGTGTCCATCGAGAGATGAATGGATAAAGAAGATATGGCACATATATACAATGGAATATTACTCAGCCATAAAAAGAAACGAAATTGAGTTACTTGTAGTGAGGTGGATGGACCTAGAGTCTGTCATATAAAGTGAAGTCAGAAAGAGGAAAACAAATACCGTATGCTAACACATATATATGGAATCTAAAAAAAGAAAATGGTTATGAAGAACATAGGGGCAGGACAGGAATAATGATGCAGACGTAGAGAATGGACTTGAAGACAAGGGGATGGGGAAGGGTAAGCTGGGACGAAGTGACAGAGTGGCATGGACATATATACACTACCAAATGTAAAACAAATAGCTAGTGGGAAGCAGCCGCATAGCACAGGGTTATTAGCTCGGTGCTTCGTGACTGCCTAGAGGGGTGGAATAGGGAGGGTGGGAGGGAGACGCAAGAGGGAGGAGATATGGGGATATATGTATATGTATAGCTGATTCACTTTGTTATAAAGCAGAAACTAACACTCCATTGTAAAGCAATTATACTCCAATAAAGATGTTTAAAAAAAAAGTTAAAAAAAAGAAAGAAGTCACGGATGAGACCTCAAAGGAAAAAAATCAAGATCTGAGGAATAAGGTTGTTAGGGAACTTGTAAAATCCTTTACCCTCAATATACCAAACTAAAACCAGATATCTTAAATTAGCAACATTGGGGCTTCCCTGGTGGCGCAGTGGTTAGGAATCTGCCTGCCAATGCAGGGAACACTGGTTCGAGCCTTGGTCCAGGAAGATCCCACATGCCACGAAGCAGCTAAGCCCATGTGCCACAACTACTGAGACTGCGCCCTAGAGCCAGCAAGCCACTACTACTGAAGCCCATGTGCCACAACTACTGAAGCCTGCGTGCCTAGAGCCCATGCTCTGCAACGAGACGCCACAGCATTGAGAAGCCCGCGCACCACAACGAAGAGTAGCCCCCGCTCACCGCAATTAGAGAAAGCCCGTGCACAGCAACGAAGACCCAATGCAGCCAAAAATAAATACATTTATATTAAAAAATTAGCAACATTGCATTTATATTCCTTGCCCTAAAGAGTAAACGTAATGCTTATAAATTCACATTTGATGAAGGTAAATAATATGAGGGTTTAAAATTTTTGTTTCTAGTCCTCCTTTCAAACATCCCATGCCTTTCTGAGTTTATTATTTTGCATCAGTGAGATTCTCGCCAAATGACAAATTTTCCAAATTATCTACATTTGATATAAATTCTTCTTTTACTGTGACTTATTTATAGGAAAACCGAAAGATGGAGAAAAAAGGTGTGGAAATAGTAGAAATTTTAAAGAAAAAAACTTTGAGGGGCTTCCCTGGTGGCGCAGTGGTTAAGAATCTGCCTGCCAATGCAGGGGACACGGGTTCGAGCCATGGTCTGGGAAGATCCCACATGCCGCGGAGCAACTAAGCCCGTGAGCCACAACTACTGAGCCTGCGCGACGGGAGAGGCCGTGACAGTGAGAGGCCTGCGCACCGCGATAAAGAGTGGCCCCCGCTTGCCGCAACCGGAGAAAGCCCTCTTAAAAAAAAAAAAAAAAAACTTTGAGGTAGTACAAAGCAATCATTAGGTACTTAAGAAATTCTTCAGTTATTGAACTCAAGGAACATATTTGCTCCAGACTTAATGATAAATATCACTCCTCCTTGGAGTACTCGCCAAACCTTGAGAGGAATAAGCCTTTAATCAATAAGCATAAATTATTTTTAAAACCTCAAAAAAAAATGAATTGTTTTATTTGGGCCCATAAAATAACTTCCTGTGGGCCCCTGGGCTTATTCTCCTTTGGGTTTGGGGATTCGGGAAAGTATACATTGATACGGTCTGTGAAAGGAAATAAGTACTAAGAGGGGTGAACATTATTCCCTCCTCATTATTACACAGGCAATAACTTATAAAGGAATAAAAACTGCATTTTCTGTGAAAAAGGGTCATGAGAAAAGCAAACTGATAGTAGAAATTCAGAGAAGTTACTGGTTAATTTTCATTCAGTAATAATGTGCTGTAATGTGGTACAGAGTTTATTTTAGTAGCTATGTAAATGACTTTATTTCTATTTAGGAGTATTAGTATTTAGTCTTTAAAAGTTAGGCATACAGGCATATAGGCCTTCCAGAATCCTGTGATGAAAATTATAGCTATAGTCATATTTAAGAATTGAGGGAATTCCCTGACTGTACAGTGGTTAGGACTCGGTGCTTTCACTGCCAGGCCTGGGTTCAATCCCTGGTCGGGGAACTAAGATCCCACAAGCCACACAGTGGTGGGGACGGGATTGAAAGGATTTTGAACATTCTGGATCTATCCATCATGAATGTAAAGTAACTGCATGTATCTCATGTTTAGACAGACCACTGTGTATTTTGAGGGTAAGATATTGTTTGTTGACTTTTCCCAAATCCCTTTCATGATACCTCACATCTTGTTGGCCTTTCTGGCTACAGAAGAACACTTAGTTGATTATCTCCAGATAACAGTCTATACAACTGTATAATAATTCCTATGCCTTCTTCCTGGTTCTAACTGAAAGTGCAGGCATCATTAGACATACTATATAGTTGGGATAATTTCTTTAGTTACATTATTTTACACTTGCCCACCCCAAAACCTAAAACACTTTTCTGCCCATTCACATAGTTTCAAACTATTGTGCAATTATAATTTATTTTCATCATTCATAACTCAGACACATTTGTACATTTGGAAGAATGGCATGCTTAATCACCTCCAGAATACTCATAAAAAGTTAATAAAGATATGAAATAACATTTTCCAACTTTCGTTAAATTGAAGATCTCTGTGATTCCTTTTTAAAAAGTCTCTATGTTGGCATTTCAATTTTTATCATCCTCTTCAAGGACCAAAACATACTACAAATTAACACAACACTGTGAATCAACTACACTTCAATAAAGTTTTTTAAAAAATTTTTTTAAATGTACTCCACATTTGATGACAATCAACAACAGTAAGCAGAAAAGATGTTTGGAAAGAAACACCACTGTTTTTTAACAGTGCACTTTTGCATTCAAAAAAATGTTAGCAAAATATGTTTGCACTGTTGATACTATTATATTTTACGTCAACTTCAAGTAGAACACAATTTTTTAAAAAGTTGTATTTGCAATATGAAATGAAGATTTGCTTAATTCATTAAATATATATTGAGCATTTACTACATGCTAGGCATTGTTCTAGCTATTGGGGATTCAGAGGTGAAAAAGACAGAAATGATTCTTACTTTTCCACTAGCAAGAAGCTTACGTTTTATCTTGAATCATTTACATTAAAAAATACATAAACCAGCATTAAAATGTTATTAAGTCACAGATGTCATAGAACTGAGGTTGAAAAGGAGCTCAGAGATCACCTATGGTCTGTCATCAATTCCAAGATGCACAGTATTTTACATTCTGACATCTCTGAAATCAGCCACATCTTACAGTGTGGTCAGACCAGGCAGCAATAGAGTTGTCACTGCTAGCATGTGTGCATCAAAACTTATGGAATGAGTGTCAGGGGCTTGGAAGAAAATCCAGCAGATAATGAATGGTGAAGGCACCCTTTTAAGGATTTTTGATGACTCAGGATTCAATAAAGTATAATAGTTCAAAGTGTTCATCTGTTACAGCAGAGGAAAATGAAATTCAGAGAGGTTAAATGACTTGCCCTAATTCACAAAGCAGAGTAGGCAGGACAAGAGTCCAGGTCTGAGTTCCAATCTCATTCTTCTTCTACCTAAGTCTTCAGTTAATGGAAGGAAAGCCTCTAGTACACGGCTCTAACTTTGGGACCAGGGGCAAAGATCTTAATCCCTCTTTGCCTCATTTCTCTATCTGTAAAATAGGAAGTTTAAGAGACCTAATTAATATGTTACTTTAAGTATTAAGTGAGATAATGCATGTATAGGACTTAACACAGAGATTAGCAAATGGTAAGTGCTCCAAAAAAGTTAACTATTTGAGATCAAACTTTACATTTGGTAGAAAATAAACTGATCATGAATTATCCCACAAATACAGATCACTATATGAAGCTCACATCTAGTCATTTGGTTAAAGTTTCAGAAAACTAAATAGACTGGTCAAACGTTTGAACTGATTAGTGTAATAAAAATGTCCACCTTAACAATGCTTTTGTCCAGGTCCATGTGGTACTGTGCCAAGACCCCAGCAGACCTATCTGCAAGAAACCATACAAAAAGTAAGAATCTCCCCCTCCACCCCTGACCATCAAATTACCAGTACTCTAATATGTACAAATGCACTTGTAAACACAACCTCAAAGAACACATAAACAAGGAAAAACATTTAAAATGTATAACAGAGCATTCATTTTTGGTTTCTTTAAAATACTACTACAACTGTATATATTAATACTAGTACAAGAACTACATGTTTGGAGCTTAAAATGCACCACAGGGAGACATGATTTGGCCAGAAGAGTGAGAGTAATAACTGTTATGATTTATATATTACTTTATATATTACAAAGCACTTTCTCATCCATTCTCAACTCAGTGCTTTGCACATAGTATGTAATTGTAAAAACAAATCCCAGGTGCTTTCTAATGTCATTTATTTTCCACTCAAACAACAGAATATTCAGAGAAGGGGTAAATGTTCACATTTCTTTTTTATTTTCTTCATTTTTAAGACTTCCTAGGTCAGCTCTTTTAATTTTGAGAGTTTAAGTGAAAATCCAAATTACAACACATTACATTACATTGAATCAACCTGCTTTAAATATTAGTTTCCATATTTTTGTTTCTATAAAAATAGTAATATTCTGTATGTCTTCACACATTATCAGCTCATTACCTATTTCAGACAAATAATGGTTTCAATTGAGATTTGGAATCCAACAGATATACAGTTAAGCATTTAGGAAGTAATTTTAACTTCTTAAAATTACTTAATAAGTAATTAAGCACTTAAAAAGTAATTTTAACTACTAGGAAATATTAATCAACTCACATTTGTTCCTGTTTCACCCGATGACAAAACCTATAGGGCACCCTGCAAGAGAACTAACTCAAATTAATATATCTAAACCTAGAATTACTGTTGCACTTTCAGAACCTTCTGGCAATTAAAGCCTTATCGTGAGGTACAGTTCTGGCATCTTCATGTTTCATCATAACTGCACAGCAGCAAAGCTCAGTAAAAGAATGCTTTTGGTAAAATCTCGTAAGCACTAACATGTTATCCAAATTTAAACCTTAAAAGAAAACCACCACATGACTCAACATGCAAACTTTCCCTATTCTAAAACTTACTAACATTATTAGTTTGCTTGTATTTGGGACAAAAAAAAAAACAAACCAATCACATACTGCATTATATCAATACATATCCTAGATGTTTTTGAAGATCAAAGTTGAGTAAAGCTGGGTCGGCAGGGAAGAGCTCTATGGCTTACTCAGAGCGCCCCTTGGTGAGAAGCATCTCAGCCTCTAGGGGCCAGGCTCCAGAGGGGGCGGTAGTTCGGGGCTGTACTCTAGGGCGCCCCCAGCCTGGCCGCCTCAGAGTCGCCAGCGCGCCCCACCTCTCTCTGTTCTACACTCCGGCCCACCCGCTCCTCCCCGGCCAGCCACCGCACTGCCCCCTCAGCTCCTAAGCAGCTGGAAAAGCCCGAAACAGAAACCCGGCACACAAAGAAGTGCTGGGTAGGAAGCGAGGCTCCACCCTGCCAAGAGGAGCGACCCCTCTAGAAAAACTTGGCGGCAAGTTAACAGGAATCGCGGAGGCGCAGTTTCTAGGACCCTTTGGGACACCCTGCCGCCCAGCGATCTCATCTTTTGTCCTTTGACAGGCCTCCTTGAAGCCCCAAACTCTGAGGGCTTCCCGAGCAACTCTTGACTCGACCTCCATTGCGGTCCATCACTGATAGCAGCCATGATAACTGTATCCGGGTGTGTCGGGAAGCCGCGCGTAGCTCTCCCGGAAGTGACGCTAGCGCGGAAGGATCGCGTTCGGCTGAGAGGGGCTGAGGTGAACAGACAGCCGAAAGCCGGAGCGGAAGGGAAGCTGTTCGTGGCGGGGAAAGGTCGGGGACTTTGTGACAATCAACTCCCTAGAATAGTTATCACGTGTCTGGCATTGTGCTTAACACCAGCATTGCCATACCACTTAATCCCTTCTTAAACAACAGTCCCAGGAGAAAGAAATTTTATCATTTCCATCTTATGTACGGGGAAGCTAAGGCTAAGAGAGGGCAAGTGATTTAAGATCATAGAGCTAGTATTTGGTGAAGCTGGTGTAACCCCGTCGTTTTCGCTGCGGAACCTGTGTTTGAAACCTCCTGCGTCGTGCTTTATTTAGAAAAGTTCAAACCCCTGGTGCTTGTTATCCTGGTGAGCCACTTCTGCAAGGGCTGTTTACCTTCAGCTCTGCATCCTGTTGCCCTAGAAGTGGGGCCGAGTCACAGCCCTTGTGCATTTTACGGTGGGCACAAGGCCGAGCGAGTGCCCGGGTCACCATCGCTATCCCGATGACCTGAGATTTCTCTTGGTCTCCTATCCCTTGACCCTGCACCGGCCCTCACAGTGCAGGTTAACTGAGGAAACTGGCACTGGCTATTCGGCTCGGGGAAACATTTAAACTCCTGTTAGGTACTTGTAAATTCGGGACTATTAAGACAACTGGAGGTCAGCATCATCAAATGCAGTCTCTGGTCTTAACAAAGGGCTTGACAAGTGTTATCTTGGACTTTCCACCAAGTCAATTATGTTTCTTCTGGTTTCTGTTTCTTTAGAATATGACTGAGAATCAATCCTTTGATCTTATGTCTACATAAACCCTCAAATAACAAAGTGTGAATAGCCACTAAGGTCATATTTTTGTAAAAACATTATGCATAGAAAAAAGCACTAACAAATACATCAAACTTAACAGTGATAGTACTTGAAGAGTGGCCACTGAATCCTTTCATTTCTTTTATATTCGTCTACTTTCTATTTTCCATATCTGCTATATCTTTTTAATATAGACAAATTGTCCACAGTAAAACCTTTTTAATTGCCTGACATTATAATGAAGGCAAAGATACGTTGTCACATTTTGACAGATTACAGTCCTTGGTGCAAGTCACATAGTGGAATCGTGTTTGCCTGGAAGAGCATTGAGGTTTTATCAGGGTATTATCAAAATACAGTTTGGGTGAACAAGCCTCACAGGAAAAATGAAACAAATGAGTAAAAATTGATGTTTTTCACGAACTGTTATATAAAAAATATACTATAATCAAAAGTTTTTCTTCTAAAGAAAAAAGAGAGGAAGATATTTTGGGTTCTTGAAATTCTAGGGAACAAGTATAGAAAGCTATTTTTATTCTGCCTTCTTTGGGGTACAGATTTAAGCAATTTATCTTTTTTCAGACTATGCAAAATAAAGACTTCATTCTCTATTCTCTCCCTATATGGTGGAAAGATAGAAGAGAGAAATGAGAAGAAATCAGGGGAAGAAGAAAAGGTGGAGGAATAAAGGAAGAATCTGATATTGGCGTTGAGGTTACTTTGGAATTCCAAGGTGGCATGTAGCAACCGTCTCATCCGAGTCCTGGCACAAGCCCAGTTGCCCATCCAAAGGTAGATTCACATATACAGTGTCTCCACTCACACACTCAGCACCCGCAATGATAACTGTGGCCAAAATTCACTTTGTACTTTTACAAATTAAACATATATTTTAACAAAACTGGGAGTCACTGAACAACGAGAAATATAAAGTCCCATCATTTTCCATGGTGCTCCCTCTTACCATACCATTCATTCATCTCATGATTAATGGCCTAAATGGATATTGAATTGGAAGTTTTGCCTGCAGTATTACAGTGCAACAACTATGAAACATCAAAATGAGGTGCTGACAGACGCATGTTTTTGAAGGAAATATCTTTGTGTTAGTCTGGTCCTATGAGAGGTGGTTGCTAAGATGAAATTAAATGTGCAGCAGTTTTATTAGAGGAAACACTTGTGAGAGAGAATGGGGAGGGAGCCAGGGGAGGCTGGGAGAGCTATCCAACTGTGATACAAGTCTGAAACTGAGTGTAGGAGAGAAGGAGGGAAGGTTGGTGGAAGTGTCCTAGACTTCTACACAGTCTGAGGAAGATTCAGCAAGGCTGTTGGGGATCTATAAGCCGAAATCACTGTCAGAGGAGTCCTCCTAGGGAAGAGCCTGCCTTATTATCTGTGCTGCACTCGGTCATTGGCTGGAGTAGCCCATTGGAAGCTTGGCTTTTGGTGCAAATGTGGCAGAATCTAGGACTTTTGGTCAATTTTGCTCCCTCTATTTGGTCACCACAATCCAAGAACTAGTTTTTCAATTATTGGAACTTTTCACCAGTTTCAGGCCTAAAAGCAGACTTTTGAATGAGATGATTTCATGAGGAGGAGTTTTGGAGAGAGCCATTGTTATGCTTTCCCATGCCCCTTCACGTCTGGTGAGTGAGGCTTCAATGGCACTACTCAGAGAGCTTGATATATGTCCCCTGGCTTTTGAGAAGTACGACAGTGTCTGACTCACATCTGGGAAATCCTAAGGGTAGGAGAAATGGGTCAGTAAGAAGTTTTGGCACAGGAGCAAAGGAGAGTTGCTATGTTGGGATCAGCTGTCCCTCCCACCAGGGAAAATGATGTTTGAGTATTTCTCATGCACCAGATGTGGGGCACATGAAGGAAAGAGAGAGCTTGCCTGGAGCCTTTTTGACTCTTTCCCAAGAGCCCTGCCTGGAAGGGAGATGGGGCACCAAAAGAGAGAATCTGTGTGGTGTGGCTTACTAGAAAATTCAGAGCTGTAAATGGAGCAGTAACTGGGGGAATAGAATACATCGCCCATCTAGGTTGACCAGCTTTTCCAAGTTTGCCTGGAACTCTCCCTGCTTTAGTATTAAAAATCTTGAGTCCCAGGAACCCCTCAGTCCCAGGCAATTCAGGATGATTGGTCATTCTACATGTCACAGAAGGAGTTGCAGTCAGAAGGCACCCTAGCAGGGAGCCTCCAAGAACCCAAAAAATTGCTCGTGAGAGTAAGAGTCAAGTTGAAATATCAAGCAGGTCCAGAGTATGTGAAGCCAGCTTATGACCAGGTCGGTGTTAAAGTGGTTTTTATCAGAGGACAATTGGAAAATGATGCTGAAGCAGGATCTTCTTCTCCACACTATCCTTTTGGAGTATGTGTTAGTCTGCTCGGGCTGCCGTAACCAAATACCACAGATTGGGTGGCTTAAACCACAAAAATTAATTTTCTCACAGTTCTGGAGGCCAGAAGTTCAAGATCAAGGTTCTGGCTAATCCGTTTCTGGTGAGAACTCTCTTCCTGGCTTGCAGATGTTCGCCTTCTTGCTGAATCCTCACAGGGGCTTTCCTCACTCTGTGTGTGTGTGTGTGTGTGTGTGTGTGTGTGTGTGTGTGTGTGAGAGAGAGAGAGAGAGGAGAGAGAGAGAGGTACGTCTCTGGTGTCTCTTCTTATAAGGACACTAATCCTATCAGATCAGGGCCCTACTCTTATGACCTTATTTAACCTTAATGACTTCCTCAGAGGCCTCATCTCCAAATACAACTACACTGGGGGTTGGAGCTTCAACATATAAACTTTAGGGGGACAGAAACATTTATTTCATAACAGAGTATGACTTGGAACACAGAGATACCTTTTTTAGTGGGGAGCATAAGAATATTAGGTCTGTCCCATGCCTCACACCCTTATGGAGAAGATATGCTATAGTGTATCTGTATCTTTTTGTGAACAACAGTAAACATTATATTTGGAGATCATTTATGACTCTTTTAGAGCTCTTCAGACATTATTTTAATCTTATCAAGGTAAAGATGGACCCACCCAGAGGACTGTTTTCTTCTGTCCTACAGAGCAGAGGAAGACACAAGCTAATGCTAACACTACCTGACCCATAGAGAAACCCACAACGGACTGTGTAGACAGTGATCAGGACTTGGACTAAACAGAGATTTAGCAAACATTGGGACTGTTCTGTATGGTGCTGCTTGTATGTATGAAATTTGACATTTAAAAAAATGTTACGTGAGAGAGAGAGAGAGAGAGAGAGAGAGAGAGAGAGAGAGAGAAGAGGAGAGAATTGGATGTCTATGTTCATAGAATTGAATGTTGGATAGCATCCACTTGAACCCCTCCAGGAAGCCTAGCTGTTTTTGTTTAATTCCTTAAGGGCTTTAGTAGTTGGAACTAGGTTCAGCTGTGAGCACAGAGTAACAGAAGGCTCTAAAATGAAAGTTATTTAAACATGACATACATTTATTTTTTTCTTTCAAGAAATCTGGATGAAATCGGTCTGGGATTAGTATGGTGATTCATGGGGTGAGGTTCCTGCTATCTTGTTGCCTACTATGTGTGGCTTTCATTTTCTAAATTCATTTCAGTGTCCAAGATGGCCACTAGAGCTCTGGCCATTGCAGTGAACAGGGAGGATGAAGCATTCGAAAAGCATAACTCTTCCACTTAGGGCAATTCCCAAAAGTTGTACCCAAGCTTCTGCAAAAGAGGCTGGGAAAACGTAGGGTTTTTTGTTTTGTTTTTTTTTAATAAGCCAGTGACTAGCTAAAAAATTGGGGATTCTATCACTCTAGAACAGAGGTGCAGCAAACTATGGTCCACAGGTCAGCCGCCTGTTTTGTTTTCTTGGTTTTTTTTTTTTTGGCTGCACCGCGCAGCATGTGGGATCTTAGTTCCCTGACCAGGGATCGAACCCGTGCCCCCTGCAGTGGAAGCACGAAGTCTTAAACACTGGACTGCCAGGGAGGTCCCAGCCACCTGTTTTTATAAATACAATTTTACTGGAATACAGCCCTGCCCATTTTACCTATTGTCTATGGCTACATATTTGT